CCCTTAGGGGTAACATGTCTTTGTCTGACAAACAAATGTCTCCCACTTACCCAGCTGGGCTGGTTTAGATGCAGATTGTCCAAAATTCTTGAGCAAATTTCAGTTGTTAGTTTTAATGAGTTTAAGATTGTTATTTATGAGTCACTTATTGTAGGAAATATTCCTAATTTGAATTCCTGTTTGACCTGTTTGGTTTCACATGAATTATAAAGAGTACAGTATTTTTGTGTGCCACTTATATTCGTTATATTATAAACCCTTAATGGCATTTTGATAAGAGCATATACCAACCACTGACTGACTCAAATATTTGTTTATTTCCACACATGAATGCAAATATGATGCAATACATATGAAGTCATGCAGTCTTTCAGTAGCTTTGACATAACTAAGACCCACAACAACACTTCTGGTTTTATCCATGCTCCTCCAGAATCGCAGCATAACAGTAAATAGGTTGTGCATCCTCTAAACAACAATATGGCCTTTTCTCTGTCCATCCTGTGATCTCAGAAAATCCAACAATGCTCAAAGTAAAAACTGAGCTCTTCGTCAAATGTTGAACTTGTTTCCAGAGCAGAAAAATTTGCGGGTGTGTCAATGATTCAGATGTGATTAGCCAGAAATGCATTTCACTTTTATAGTTCCTATGGGGTAAATGTACTATCAGAAGGTATTTAGGCCAACCTGTAATGTTTCGCATGTCAAACTGGTCATTGAATCAGGGAAATATGTACATGCTCCAAATACTGTAGTTAGGGCTGAAACGATTCGTCGAATACCTCGAATAATTCCAGTACAAAAAAGCCTCGAGTCAAATTCTCTGCCTTGAGGCTTCATTTAATTCATGTTTAATTCATTCATGGCTTTGCAATCGCCCGGTGTCATGTTTCACCCGGACCGAAATAAGTACGAACACTGTGCGACTTTTTCATTTGTAGCACTCAGTTTCAGCTCACACTGTGCGTCTGGTAGCAACACGTCGGACCTAAAAATGTGCTAAAAATAGCAGTTTTTACACAACACGTCAGACTTTTTATTGTGTTGTTATTGACGTCTGTTGTCCCTCGGGATTGCTGCAGGAGGACACAGGTATTTATGAGTGGCGGAGCAAAACAAAAGAAAGTAAATAAATGTTTTGTGATCAGTATAATGTGACATAACCACAGCAACCATGCTTTTTCGACAATCCTTGTTATTGTGTGAGAAAAAAAGTGTAGAAATTAAAACGGAAGTGGGTTAATAGGGAAACAGCTGGTGAGCCATGTTTGCACATGCGCCGTGAGCGGTTCTGGTGCAGGTAGAATCTTGCGCGAGGGGAAAATCGGCTCAGGTTGTATACTTCTTTTTTGCACAGGCATTTGTTTACTGCAAAGTAAAGTTGAAGTGCTGAAGTTTTGAAAACTAATTTTGAATAAAACTTGAAGAATAACTGCCAAATACTTGCTCATTTTAAGAGGTCTTTCATATTTTATAACATGCTATTTGATATAATGGTTTACAAACACAAAGGGGTAATTTATTAGAGTACTCGATTAATCGATAAGATTAGATAGAGTACTCGATTACAAAAATATTCAATAGCTGCAGCCCTAACTGTAGTGACTGAAAACTCCTAACGACATGTTTATCGTTATGTTTTTGTAATAACTTTGTGTGTGTGTGTGTGTGTGTGTGTGTGTGTGTGTGTGTGTGTGTGTGTGTGTGTGTGTGTGTATTTCTTCATAAAGACTTCTATATGATAACACTAGCTCTTTACACATTCTGTGATTAACAGAGATGTTATGAGAGGCATCCAATTGAAACTTTCACATTTGGACCCAATGAGGTTTCATGTAGAGACACGTCCAAACTCGCTCCCAACTTCCGTAATTTGTTGTTAGCTGTCTGATTAACCATCATAACTAAATGCACAGTAACGTGTAAAATAAATAAATAAATAACACTAATTGTAGACCCATCTAAAATAATTGTGAGCTCTATGGATTAAGATGAAATCGTTTCAGTTGAAGTTAAGAAAAATTTTAACTGAACTCCGCTAAAAAATCTCGTAATTTAAAGTTTGCGCTCTTCTCAGCAAGTCTTGCTATGCTGTAACACAAAGCAAAAGTGAGTTTTCTAATAATTTAAACGCGTAGAAAAATTCGGCAGTGAAATTGTTCACAATAAAACAATACTAGTTTCAAGAGGTGCGCTGCTCGTTACAATTTGCTTTATTAAACGGTACCGAGAGAAACAGATTAACTAGCTAAAAAAAATTAGAGCATCCACTTCAAATAAGACTTGAACCGATTAGGTATGTCGGTATGTGCGTTTCAGAATTCTACTTTTCTCCTTAGCTTTTGTGTTCACGGGGAGAGCAGAAAGCTTGGGTTAGCTAGCTTGTTGCGGTCTAAGACAATGAAACTCGGATCATACTCCAAAGAACAAACACACCACTGTCATTAACTACGGCAGAAAACAATACAGACGTGACGGATTATCCATAGGAATTAACTACCTGGTTTAATGTCCCTTGGTGCTCATTTTGTCCGGAAAGTTACGAATCAGCTCCGAGACCCCGCACCGCCGCTTTAAATATGCAGAAGTTTTGCTGAAGTCAAGTCTAAAAATGACACTTCCGAAGCGATATGGGATCCAGCCAATCAGCGGCAGGATTCTATTGAATGACGTAAAATTCTGCCAATTAGAATAAGAACCGACTGTTAAAGCCCTCCTCAAATAAACGGTTCATTTTAGCCAAGCACAGTGTGTACATTGAAATTAATTCAGTTGAAATGTATTTTAGTCTTATTTATACACTTAAAAAAACATGTAGCCTAATACATTTTAAAACCCTTTGCATTGTATTTTCAGTAATTACTGTCATGACAGTCATGATGCTGATTTTTTTTTTTTTTTACTTTTACAGGTTGGGCGTTTATTATTGATATTTTAGAGGAAAAAAAGATGCCAGAAAACTCAAGTTTGAAGCACGAGCTATTCGCTATAATAAACAAAAATATTAATTATTTTTCATTGACGCAATACATCATTACAAGATGCAAAAATTTACTTCCAAACAAAACTGGTAGCCCGTGATTTTGTAGTGAAGCACAAATAAGGCAATTCCCTATGTTAATATTTATGAAATAAAAAAACAATAAAAATTATTCCCTTAAATTAAAAATTAACAAGGAGCAACTTCTTTTATCAAAGATAATTTTGGCCTTTCTCCATGAAGAAACATCGTCCTCTACAGTGTTTTTTAATTAACTAATTCCGCATAACTACTTTTGAAAAAATAAAAATAAAAATAAAAACATTTGATTCACTATAAATTAAACTCAAATGCTATTATAATTGAAATTGCACACCCTTCTCAGTGACAAAAGCATTTGGAGACATGCTTTATTCTGACAAATGCATGTTTAAAGCTGGTTAAAACTGTTTGCTGCATACGCCTCTAACTTGAACGAACACAAGCGCGCCTTGGCCCAAAGCCCTGCACACTTTAGACGGTCACTGCTGATGTCAGTGACGCAGTAGAGATGAGCCCGCACTGCAGGACAATCCCTCAGATTAGCGCCTTGACCCGCATGGTTCACCTGACTCACCATCCAGAGGAGCTGACACAAACCTGACCTAGATTTCCTATACTTTTATGAAACATTCTAGTCGGACAAAAAAGGCGGATTGTAGTCCTTTATCCAAGGGTTTTTGGACTGAAGTCTTGTCTCAGACACCATGGAGCCGTGACAGGTTTTGTGCAGATTTTCTATTTTTTGCAGGACTATTATTTTTTTTCTCATCCATCTTCAGAGAGCCTATAATGAAGCATACTCCTGTTTCCGGTGGAAACGTGGGCTTTAATCCTCCCCGATTACTGCGCACAAATGGATTGCGTCCTGTCGGACAGCTGGGGACATAGGCCTTTATTGTCTGACGAATCTCATGCGCAGCTGAACTGAACTCATCGGATCCATCATAACCCATTTTCTCCATTGGTGCCAAAATGAAGAGAGCCGTACTCAAAGAAGCCATAAAGCGGTTACCTTGGCTGGCCAACGTCACTCTGTACGGCTGCGTGTTCGCTGGCGGTGACCTGGTCCACCAGCTCATCGCTCAGAAGGAGCACATGGACTGGAAACACACCCGTAATGTCGCCATCGTGGCAATCAGTTTCCATGGAAACTTTAATTACTTCTGGCTCCGCGCACTGGAGAGACGCTTCCCTGGAAAATCCGCTGGGATGGTTTTCCGCAAACTCCTGCTGGACCAAAGCTTCGCCTCTCCTTTGGCCACCAGTGTCTTCTACACAGGTACGATTAGATATTTCATCCTCAGATAATTCTACGTGTGTTTCTGGCACAGAATATGCAGACAATAGCGATATGCTCTAGCGTTTTTACGACTTCAGAACAAATTTGTGTACCACCCTCACACATTAAATATCCAATCGTAAAACTGAAGCTGCCTTCGGGTTATCTTTGGTCTAACGGCCTGGGCAGGACTGTGCGTAAAAAAGCGCACACACGTTCTAATTTCTGTCCGGCAGGCGTGAGCTACCTGGAGGGTAAAGAGGACGTATTTGAAGACTGGAGGGAGAAATTCTTCAACACCTGGAGGGTAAGAAATGTTTCAGACACGGGGGGAAAGTCACTTTTCTCCTCTCCACCCCGCTGCCTGCATGGAGCCAGATTAACACAGATTGCGCCATGCGCCGCTGGAACGCGGGGGTAATTCAGGCAGTGGATGAAAAAGTCACTGAGTTTGTGTAGGAGGTGAAATCCTGCTGATTAACAGACTGTTGGGCGGACTGCTATTACATAATAAATAGTCAGAAGCCAGCTCAGTGACCTAGTGGTAGAGTGTCTGCCCTGACTTTGGGAGATCAGGGTTCAGGCAGGGTCATACCAAAGACTTAAAAATGGGACCCAATGCCTTCCTGCTTGACTCTCAGCTTTAAGGGGTTGGATTGGAGGGTTAAAAGAGCTCAAGCACATCTGCACCTAACTGCC